TGTCATCATGCAGGATCGAACTGTGGACCATTTCTTTCCACTGTTTTGACACCTCTGCGGCGTTCAGGAAAAATGGGACATGATTTTGTGTTGCTCACATGAGCCTCTACAACATACAGAGTCTATTTTGAAAACCATGTCCTGAAAGACCCCCCCCCATGTTAGGGACATGGGGAATAAAGCTGTGATTGGAAAATTAGCTTGAATATAATAGTTCAAGCCGCTTTTAAAGGTCCGTTTGAAAAGTCAAAGGAAAGCTACAGTAAGTAGCTTTCAATTTTGGCGATAATTGAATCGCAACCAGTTGGATTCATTGAGTCTTTAACGCAGAGTAATTTAGCGACGAAATTACCGTGCTGCTTACTGATGTCGTGCACGATTGTGTTTCGTGTCCGGCATCGAGTGTAATCCGAGATTCACAATCCAACGAATTACTCGGAGTTTGCCTTTCCAGCAGAGCCACGTTGTTTGAAAAGCAGGTACCGTATTTGACTTTTGTTCTTCCATTCCGTTTTTCTGACGATGAGTCACAATATTTCATCAGTTTTTTTATCATCATCTATTTGGCGTGCATGTACTTTTTCGCATTTGGTTTAGCCTAGAGGATAAGTGCACCGCCGTTGCCCATAATGAATTCATTTCGCCTCCGGCGCAATATTGTGGAATTCTACAGTGCTCAGTTTTTTCGCGATAAAATTAGATGAAATTAGGAAATCTTACAGTTGTCTTCCCTGGCAAGAGATTGTTCCTTGAAGCAAGGATCAAAAATGAAATAGAAAGGTTACCGCTAATAAACGTAAAATTGAGCGTAAGCAGCAAGTGTTGAGTGAGAGTTTTTTTCTGATTCCAAAGTATTTTACATATTTTTCTTATTGCAGAAGCATATGCTAACTCTGTAAAGTGCTGATCTTTTCGTTGGCTTTTTATTATACCACGAAATTTCACATTACATGAAGGAAAACCTGGCGGGGCTGGGTCTAATTTAGGGTGGGTAGCGCATGGGCCTATATGTGCGAAGCCCACATGAGCAGAGCCCTGCACAGAGTAAGTGGGGCATGCACCAAAGTAGGCTGTGTGCTGGCCAAGAATTCCTGTTTTGATTCCAGAAGAGCCTAAAGACAGAGAGAAATGGAGAAAGGCACATCTCACGACAATAGGGCACTAGAGTAGAACCCTAGCCCGAGCAATGTGGAACGGTTTGCAAGCACACAGTATTTGCCGGCTTTTTCGCCAAAATTGCTAAGCAAAGACGCTATGGCTCAAGAATGCACCCTGGATCCAGTGCGCGTGGTCCCGCCTGAAAAAAAAGACGTCACTGGACCCTTACAGTCTTAAGAGGAAGAAAGCTTCACTTTTAGTGTTTTCGGTGACTGCTTTTCCTTTATCTCCTCTACCGATCCACATCACCCCTCTATTTCTTTTTTTCGGCGAAGTAACCATTCAATTCGATCGTGAGGTTGCCTTCAAACCAGTGGGTTGGAAATGATAAATGAGATATAGACTACCAGTCAAGACTTCTCCGTCTTTCATACGGTCTTCAGACACTGGGAGGGACCAGGGTCAACCCTACGTTGCTACAAGTAACAACGGGGGGTCGTAGTTTGTTGAAGTTTGTGGTGGGGGGGTCGTACTTGCCGCTGCTTAGGTTTAGAGTTGGGCCAAGGTTTAGACTTAGGCTTGTTAGCAAAGCAAAGCAAATAAGAGGTGTCCTAATGATCCTGGGGCGGAGAACTAAAATGCATCCACGAGATAGAGCGGGGCCAAAATCAAATATTCCGGTTGTCTCGTCTTTATCGCTGGAGCTTCGCGTAACACGCACGTCAATGTGCAAGCTAAACAGGCATTCTGTATGCATAAGCATTCAACAGCTGATAGCGAGCCCACAACGACCCAAATGTCAAGTTGGCAATAGTGGTGAGGTAGAAAAGCCGAGGCGTATTAGATTTACTTCTTCTTTCGAAGAACTAAATGATTGGAACATTTTAAAGGGTTGGGGTTTCAAACCATTACCATTTGCCTGGTTTGCAATTGTGAACGTTACCAATAGCTAGGTCACTAATTTATCCACATAGCCGGGCATTCCGGTACAAAAACCTGCAACCGCTGGTCCTGACTGCCGTGTGCCATGAAGCGAGTCACCGTAAACATTTTATATCATCAATATCATTTATATCAGCAATAGTATTCTCTAGAATCCTCCAAAGTATCCTGGAACAATCGTTTAGCCGTTGTTCTGTAAGGCCTTAATATTATTTTTCGATTTGGATGTAGTTGTTGGAGTAGTTGAAGCAGTAGCCCCACTTAATGAAGCTTTTTGTGGTTTTGTTCAATGAAGGCGATTGTTTGACGAAACTGGTGTGGTTTCTTTGCAGACGAAGCTGAAAGCTGGGGGTGCAAAGGTGGAAGTGAGGAAAAAGAAGAGTGCAAAAATGCAGGCAAAGGCATAAATGAACGGCTTAACATTTTTTTGAAAATCGGGCCTTCAAGAGAAATGAGGGCATTGACACGGTTGTGTATGCTAAACAGATCCTTCATCATCCAACATTAGCCTTATTCCGTATACGCACATAGTTGAGTTCTTTGAACTTTTTTTTGGCCGTTTCAAATATGCGATTTTATTTGCATTTCGAAAACAACTGGTTTCGTTCGCAATTTATTCTGAAGAGCCAGAACATGTTAATTGGAATTGATACTTCGTGCCCCGCCCCCCCGCTTTAGTTGTGGACTGCAGAATTCGGCTGCCTCCAGCCATCTCATTCAAAAATCCCGCGCCCTACGGGAAAGTGCTGCGTTGCGACGCCGCGCAACTGGACGAATCTGTTGACCGCTGCCCTTGAGAGAGGAGAGTAGAGGATATGCGAGAGAGTACAACGAATGAATGGTTGCGCACACCTCCGAATTGTTTGTGAGATGGAGTAAAATGAAAAGTTCGCCCTCTTGGACGTTATAGAAAGTGGACATCTCTAAAACACTAGGAATAGTTCTATTCTTACACCAAAAGGATTTGATCCACTATGAATTCATTCATGGGGTGTGCCTTCACGAAAATCGTCAGAAAACGGCTATACTCTTTCATGTTTGCATTGCCTCGTCCTTAATTTCTACTTATTTCTAGATGGATCGGCTGTTTTGTTATGAGTTCACCGATCCACAACTACGTATAGCTATAGACTTCCTGAAAATCCGTTTTCAATCGGGCTGATGTCGCTTACCATCTCGAGGAGAACCATGTGACCAAACCTGTAAGTTGCTACCGTCTCACTATTTCCTGCTTATCAAATTATCCTAGAAGTAAACTGCTTCTTCCTAGGTTTTTGTCGCCATCGTTTCTGTTCATCCCAACACTGGAACAAGGGAATCGGTAGCGCGCTCCTTAGAAAACTGGTATGTTCAAGTGCTCACGTTATTATTTTTTCTCCCGCGTATCCTAACGGCACCTCCGGTGGAAAGGAAATATCCACCTGGGACGTCCACGCTGGTCTTTTTAAAATGTTGGGGTGTTGCAGTATGAATGTCTCACACTTTCTGTTCCACACAATTCGGCTGAGCTCGAATCTTTTCAGCGGTCTATAAACATTCCTAAGAACGCCCTTAGCTGTACAGAGTGAAGTCCCTTTTTTTTTAAACATTCCTGATTTCTTTGATCTTTTTTAATCTGTGTTCTGAAGCCTGGTGCGGTGTCTTTTGGGAAATCGATCGTTTCAGATAGTTGCTCGTGTTTTGTGAAAAAATGGTATCAACCTGCAATTGAGAATGGCGCGAACAAAGAAGCGGAACATTTTTTTTTTGCTTGAGCTAGTGATCTCTCTTACTGTTCGGGTACGAATTTGTGCGGTCGCCCCAAGAAACGTATTTAATTTGCAGAATGTCCTCAGTACTGATGGAGAGAGTAATGAGTGATGCTTGGATTAAGTTCCAGTAAATATTAGGATTTAATAGGGTACATACCTAAGAGTTAGGGCAGGGAACGAGAGGTGTATAATGAGCATCATAACTAGCGCACTTCATTAATTAGTGGAGCGGTAAGCCACACATAATTCGCTGTTCAAAGAGCAAAGGGGAAACAATAGACGACGAGTGTTCGTGTATAGGAACAGTTATGTTCATATACAAGAATATAATAACTACAAGGGAGGAATGATTCATCCATATCTTGGAGGAATCCAGATATTTGAATGCTCGTACCTTGCTGAAGTAGGCGTGTTCCTCTGTTTGTACGCAAGCCAATGGCATTGTTCCGAAGTGCTGGGAGGAGGGCGGAAGTGGTGTAGTGACAAGTGGCGCGCTTCACCACGCGAGCGGTCCGGGGATCAAATCCTGGGTCGTGAGTCGCCCGGGCCAACCAAGCCTTCCATCCCTCCGGGGTCGGTTAATTGGTACCAGACTTGTCTGGGAGGATAAAAACACTGACTTACATCGGCTGGCCCCGCAAGTCATTGTATAGGCCACATCGCATTCAAACGCCACTACGAATGTACAAATGGAAGTAGAATGCGTGCCGCATCCCAAAAGGGATTGATCAACGGCAAATGCTTTATCCTTTATCTTTTCTTTTTAATGGATTTATTCGTTTTTGGTGAAGAACATTTACTCAAAGGCCATTTTGGAAGTGAGGTATCCATATGGATGCCCACGCCCTAAAATTGAATAGATGAACCTTCATTCAAGGCTTAGGAAATTAAAATTCCCATTGCTTGTCATGCTTGGCGTAAGATGGTCGAGAGCAATTGCAGGCCGTAGGTATAGAGTAGAATGGATTGCGACTTAGAATGAGCTTCTTTCCAATCTGAAGCGGCTTGTGTTGGTTGTGATTGGGAGCCGGACGGCCACACATTTTTGAAATTAGATCTGGGCTGAATGTAGTTTGGAAGCTCAATACGAATTAGAAGGAAATTTCAACGGCTGCTTAAGGAAGGGCAAAGGGGAAGACAATTTTATTGTCGGATAGGTGGCCGGTTCGTCTTTGATTTTGCTTCTAGTTTGAGAAAGTCCGTTTCTAACCAATTGAACCAAACATGGGACAGGGAAGTATCCGAAATGCAGTCTTTTTCTTCCAGCATTATCTGTCCTCTACATCTGACCTTCTACTTTCGAAGTATTCCCCTGAGCCTCTTGAAACTTCTCTTTGAATTGAACCTACTTATCTTCGCAAAATCCAATGCTCAACAAAAACCGCTGGCAAATGCGTCAGGTTTCAAACAGAATGTCGTCGGGCCATTTACGTTTGTGCGCACGGCGCTTCATCCCACGCCCTGCTCCACGCGCTGTTGCCATGCTACACGAAATCTGTTTAAATCAAGTTATTGGAATCTTACCCGCCATTAGTTGGCAATAAAGCAATTGTGGCCGGTTCTGATTGTTGCTTGCTTTGCGTTTTCATGTTCCTCGCGAATATAAGGTCATGGGCGGAAGAGATTTAATGGGCTGCATGACTTATTTCTCACTTATGGTTTATTGGCACTAAGCTGTCAACTGGGAGAGCGTCAATTGCCTTGCCGAAAGCCTTTTAGGACTACCAAAGAAGTGGAATGGCGATAAATGAAGCGATTTCTCTTTTTTTAACATGATGAAGTGTTACAAGAGGGAATGGCGCGAAAAATTCCAAAACTTGTTTTTTTTTCTGATTTTTAATCATAACCAGTAAGTAACCATTCTTGTGATAGATCTCCATGACTTTAGAAATAATGTGGAATTGAGGGCAATGGGTGGCTTTTAATAAAATTTTTGATAAGAAGCATTTCACGCAAGCACTGGATTTGTTGGGTGGCAATATATGGGTGAATGGTATATGCCTGCCTTCGAGAAGACAGTCAGAAGGCCTTAAAAGATTCGTTTTATCAACAAGAGTGAGAGGTCGCCGGAACTAGCGAGTACTGTGTTGACAAGTGGAGCGCGCTTCTCGCAGAATTACATCCTGGCTTATTGCTGGCGTTTTGGAAAACGTTGCTTGCGCTTTCTGCCCTTAACCTTCTCAGAGGCACATTCCTCAATGAGATCATTCGACTATTCCCTGGCCTGAATAAGTTTCCTGGATCTGCACTATATAGACATGAGATCACATTCGCAACTCATACGCCTAAAGAGAGCGCTAGGAGGCTTGGTGAGAACTGCCAACCATTGCCGCCCACTTTTCATGCAACCATGCACGCTCAACATTGCGTTGGGTATGTCGTGCTTCCGACTATGGCACTCTATATGCGTGTTGGGTCGTTCCGACCGCTTAAAGGACGAATTCACGCTGGAAAGCAACCCATTTCAAATTAACTTAGCGATGGTGAGTGGTACACAAAAAGAAGGAAAACCATGAGAAACGGCCCAGAACCCGAGAAATGGGACCCCTTCCTTGCCCGTTGATTTGAGCATTGATTGTGACTGTCTGTTCTATTTGCGCAGTGTGCCCTCTTCAACACTACGCTCTCTCACCTATCTAATCACTCGCCACGTATAGACCTGCGGCGAGTGATCAGATGATCGGTGGGCGTGCACTGGCCCACCGCGCCAAGATTGAGCCTTAATAGGTCGCCGAGGTCAACTCCTTCAGTCCGCACCCTCAGGAGGTCCGCGGGTCCCTCAACTAGGTGAATTACTCCTTCGACTTTCATTCTAATCGTGAATTCGTCCTTTAATACCTAGTGTCCCTCTGACTGTTTGTTTCTTAGACTCCTCTCCGGTTTCTAGGGATTTCCGTTCTCTTTTGTTCCGGGTGTGTTTCATTCTTTTCGTTCATTTTGTTTTATAGATAAGGCTTATGGAAAGTTAAGTTGGGCCATCTTGTCCTATAACAATGACTTATGAAGGGCCCCAACTTAATTTCACTACGATTTTGGTGCGCATCGTAAGCTGTGTATAAACGTAGTTCAGAATTTTTCCCCAGGAATGAAAGCCGATTCTGGACATTAATAAATTTTGGTCACAGTGCGCCTACTGCATATTGAAAATAGCGTCAGTTGTGGTCCAGTTAATTTTGTTGTCGTCTTGTATTCCATTTTATTTTCTTCCCCCAAAACTCAGAATGGTATTTAGCTTGGCGGCTGCACGAGAGGACCGTTGTGACGGCGCCTTGGCGCTGTGTAGCAGTAGCCGCGCCAGTCGTGTGATGCTAAAGAAGTTCAAGAATGTGGTAGGTTTATTCGAGATTTATTCGATATTTCCTTTGATCGACCCTGACTGGTTCGAGAATATTTGGTTGTAGGTGTGTCGGACTCGGTACTGTGACTATCGCGGCGAGTACAGGCAACCACCGATTTCTCCTCCGGAACCCGACACGGCCATTCATGTACTTCTAACCAAATTTTAGAGTTTTCCTCCCACAATGTCAGGCTTAGCTTCGTTCTGCTATCGCACGAAATCTTATTGGATTGATGATCCCAGGTCTGAATACAGCAGACTCGTCTGTCTTCCGCGCTTCAGCGAATCTGCCATTAGCCCTATGTCATCCTTCTAGTTTGACGTTTTAAGAAAGAAAGCAATTAACCGTTCCATCGCTGACGCCATAACACGTAATCCAGGCTAAGGATGACGTCGGTGCCATTGGCCGAACAGTGAACGCGTTGAGCTCGAGTCTGCATACACGGCTTAATCCATGCCGGATTAGTCGTCTTTTCTTTGGTTCTGATCGAATTGCCTTCCTCTCCTACAAAATTGTCTCCCATGGTTGTATTCGAATTTGTTGTTATGTTCGGCTTGATTCCGCTTTTCTTCTCCTCTTCACGCATCCAATCCCCCCCCCCGCGTATTTCCTTTGAGTTCACTTTCCTTATTTCCTTTCGTTAGACACTTCCGCTTTAGTTCGTATTTCTATGAGCAAATTATTGCACAACATGTTTGTCGACGTCGCTATGATGGAAAAGAATCACTTAAATAGATGTTTACGTACCGCAAGATGTTTCGCAAACAAGATTTTCAGCATGAACATGGGACATGAATGCCATTGAGTTACAGCGGATGGATCAATTCTCTGCAAGCAATCCTTTCAGCTCGAGACAATTACAAGCTATGCCGGCAACAATTTACTTGCAGCCTTACCATTAGTCAGCTCAGTAACGAACTATCGGTTTTCCGCTGATTGTCAACATTCAGTGGTGAACGAGTTCTCTTCAGGGCTTGTATTAGAGGGTATACTTAATTTTAATCTTTAATCAAATTTCTTGCGGAAAAAAAACTTGGGAAAACCAGATTCGAATTATTCAATCAAAGTATTGG